TCGACCAGTCTTTCGTGGGCTTGTGTCCCCAGTTCCGAGCCCACCCTTAGCGTTCTTATCGGCTCTCTTTCATCGATGGGGACCTCGATCAATTCCTCAACCGGTCCCGTTCCGGTCTCATCTCCTGGGAACCTTGGATCCAAATCGCATTCTTCCGCCCTGGTCTCGACCATTCTCAGCTCCCTCCATACCTGTGTCGACTCGGCGTAGTGGCGGACAGTCTCTGAGTACGTAAGCCTCGACTCGTACTGATTTCCCCGGGCCTTGCCGATCCCACTGGGCGTTAGAAACTTCATCATCTGGTGGTAGATGGATGTGACTGCCCTCAGAGCCCTCAACGTCGGGCGCCCTATGACCGCGTTGTATTGGTCGCCTCCCTTCACCACCAGGAATTTTGACATGATAGTCGAGGTGTGTGGTCGGTCTCCAATGGTCATGGGCAGCTTTATCGCCCCTTCCGAGATGACGCTGTCCCCTGTGAAACCGTACAAGGGCTGCGCACTGTTTTGCAGCCTTGCGTGGGGGATCCCCATCTTATCAAGGCAGTCCGAGTACAAGATGTCCACGGAGCTGCCGATGTTGACTAGGATACGGCAAACTGTATGGTTACCGATCATGGCCTCGATGACCAATGTGTCGCTCTGGGGGAAATATACCCCCTCACGTCGGCCTCCGAGAAAGCAATTTTGGCTTACTCGTATCGCGCTGCCTTAGCCTCACGTCCGGAGACGTTCATAATCCTCTGGCTGAACTTTTCTTTTGCCTCTCGAGCGTACTCCTTCTGTGCGTGTCGGGAGGAGCCTCCGAGGTATGGTCCCCCGAAGATCGTTCTTATAATGCCGACCGGCTCGGGCGGGTTGTCGTGCCTCTACTCTTCCCGTCGGTCGTTGTTGCGTCTGTTGTTGTTGTTCCGTCAGGCGGCTCGGTACTCGCTGAGCCTCCCTTCTCGGATCAACCTCTCGACCTCGTCCCTCAGGTCATAGCATTCAGCCATAGTATTCCCACTCTCACCGTGAAACTGACAGTACTTGTTTTGGTTTCTCCGCGCGGGGTCGGACTTCAACGGTGGTGGTCAACGTAGGACCTGGAGGTGACTGATCTCATGGTAGATGTCTTCGATCCCCATAGTCAAGGGTGTATACGCGTCGTACCTCTGCGGCTTCGGTCGCTTGCTTTCCCCCTGGCTCATCGAGGCGTTGCCGCCCCTATTGCTCGGAGCTGGGTTATACCTTTGCTTGGCTTGCACCTGAGGGAGACCTCGGCGCTTCTTGCCATTGTTTTGATTGCTCGCCTACCCTACCTCCTCTTTGGCAGGGGTCGTCGCCTTACTCTTCAAGGCCTTCTTAGCGTCCTCGGCGTTAATGAACCCCTGTGCCCTCGTTAGGAACTCCTGGTAGGTATGGGGCGGTCCCCGATCGAGGTTCGTGCTATAGGGGATATCATTCTTCATGCTCGACAGTGCCCCTATCAAGGCCACCTCGTCAGAGATTCCCTCGGTGGCGGTGACTTGCTCCCCAAACCGGGCTATCCAGTCCTTCAGGGACTCATTAGGTCCCTGGTACACCCTTGAGAGGTTTTGTTTAGGTGGGACGTATTTCTTGACTCCTATGAACTGAGTCAAAAAGGCGTTCTTCAGATCATCCCAACTGGTGATGGAGTTTGGCTTTAAAGATCTGAACCATCTCCTCGCAGAGTCGGAAAGGTGATTCCTGAATGCTCGGCACATGACATTCTCGGGGTATCCATGTAGGACCATATGCCCTGTGTACACCTCCAAGTGGTCATCCGGATCACTCATTCCGTCATATAGCGGAATGGGAGGCGATTTATACTTGTCCGGGAGCGGCACCCAGATGATATTCTCTGTGAACGGGTGGTTGTGCGACGTGTACATCTTGGCGTCGACATTGACCGCCTCAGCTACCTTCCCTACAACTTGCTCGAAGTTGTTTAATCGACTCCCAATATGCTTTTCAAGCCTAGCCATCTTCTCGGCCAGGGCCTTATTATCCGCTGCGAGCTCTTCCCCTTTCGCCAGCTGCACGGCTTTCCCACGTCGAGCATCGAGCCTCGTCCTGAAGTCTCTGCCGTGCACAGACGAAGACCCCATGGGGACAACATTCCTCCTATTTGCGTCCGGTTGCGGTCGAGGGGGCGCATCCCTGTTATTCACGGCTTGCGCCGCAGCCTCCTCCCGCGCTCTCCTTCGTGCCGCCCGTTGCCTACTCCCTACCGACCTGTTCGACTTGGCCAGGCGAGGATCGTTGGCTCGACTATTACCGATCTCCTCGGTGTCACCGCGTTGGTCACCAATCCCTTGGTCGCCAACAGCGGCGTTCACCGGTTCATCGGCGCATCCTCCAACGGTGGCATTGAGTTTTGACCTTGATCCCGCCCAGCAAGGGCCGTAGCCATCCTTTCTACGGTTGTGGCCAGCGTTTCGACCTATTTTTGAAGCTGGTCGAGGAGGTCTGGGGGATTCACAGCAGCTGGTGGGAGTGGGTTGGTCGAGGTCTTTGTGGCGATGGGATTTTGGGTTGCCTGGCTCCTCGGGTCGGCTGCCAGCAGGCGAGCGTTCCTGGGAGGCATAGTTGCTGTTTCCTTTTTGTTAAAAACTGGATTAGATTTCTGGGCTTAAAGGCCCTCCTTCTAGCGCCAATTGTTGACGGTATTTTTCCGACAACTCGTGATTACCTCTCCAAAAATAATTATAGTGGTTCGGCAACAACTCTTTGCCTAATCTACTTGTGCATGCACTAATATTTCAGTCGGTTACAAGTTTTCTCCTCTTAGTAATGAAATGGCGTCTAACCCCTTTCTAGGTTCTTTTGGCTCTATTTATAGGTAGTTACAAAGCTAAGTCTTCTCCGTTCCCAAGGAGGAAGCCATCTTCCATCCTCGATCTTCGGGAGGGTAGGTGAGTTTTCATGATGACAATCTCAAGAAATGCGGCTGACCCCTCTCATCTGCCGCACGATCTCCTGCCTCCTGCAGTAGCCGTTGGATCGGTACTTCCTTCTCCGAGTTGACAATACCGCTGACGGGTCTGACTCGGCGGGGTGCCTCGGCACAGTGGCTCTCAGAGGTCGAGTCACTATCCTCGACGCCTCTCTCCACGTGTGATCTCTCGGCGCAGAGGGCACCTTAGCTACAGCCGCTCCTTCGACGCCAGCGACCGATTCAGGACGGGAAGTCCTCAGCGCCTAGCGTCGAGAGAGTAGTCGATTCCTCGACCATGGTGTAACAGTGTGTTAGTTGAAGACATTTTGAGAGGTACTTTTGACAAATATTTTTTGAAAATTTATGGATAAGAATTTTTATCTTTTTACTCCTTATTCATAACAATTTTAGTTAAATAATTATACTAATAAAATGATATTTATCAATAGTAAGACATAAAGGTTCAGACTCACGCACTGTTAAGAATAAATTCTTTATTTTTTTTTTTCATTTTTGAGTCTTATTTCTAATGTAAATAACTGGAAATGTTGCTATGTACTAAGGGCGGGTAATTCGGTTGCTCATTCTCTTGCTTCATCGACTTTTAACTCTAATGCTGAGATAGATGGTTGTCTTGCTTTTCATAGATTTGTCTCCATTCATGTACTGAACGATTTACTTATTCAATAAACAATTAATCTTTCCCTAAAAAAAAAATCACGTGGGCCAAAAAAAAAAAAAAAAAGAAACAACAACATTTTTCTCATTCTTTAAAATTGATTAATTTGTTTGCATGTTAATCCAACCACTAGATTACATGGAACCGCAACTCTTGCTGACCTCAATGAAGGTTTTGGATATTCTCCAACGGCTAATATTACCTTAAGTAAATAGTTAAGGAAGAAATCCATAGAAGAATATGCTCTACCTTTTTTGGTAGAATAGAAAGAAGGTGCTCTACTTGGAAAGTAAAAGCAAGGATTTTCTTTTTGATAAGGAAGGTAAAGTTATGATTGTGATTCTATTTAAGTAAAGGTATTATTGTGCATTAATCCCCTTTTTTAAAAGTCAATGTTTACGTTAAATGTGGAATTAAGGGTGAAAGAGACAGCGGAGAAATGTTTGGATTTTGGAGTATCAATATTTACCAATGGTTTAACTACATGAATGATGAATCTAGTAAATCTAGTATAGTAATAAGATTAGTGAACTAATTCGTAACCTTACAAACAATTTTTAATTCTTTACTTTTTGCTTTGTCAAGTTGTGGATAGCCAAAAACCTTTTAAGACACTACAAAAAATTAATCATAAACATAAACATTTAGGAGACGTTTGGTTCATGAATTAGAATAATGAGATTAGAATTATTTTCGATTTACGTGTATTTTTTATGAAATAAAATACTATAACGAATCATGAATCATGATTCAAATAATAGTATGAATCCTCTTATTAAACGTCTCCTTAGATTTACGCTAATAAACTATAAACATTTTGGATTCGGTACAAATAGGTCGGAAAAAAAAAGAATTTTCAACGGGGGGACCATTATATATACAATCTGAATTGTAGATTTTTAAGTTGAGCGTGATAAATTTTTAACATTAACACTCACACATTAGTTAAAATCTTAATTTGATCGTTAAAATATTAATTTTTATTAATAATTAAAAAATATAATCCTCACATAAAAATTCTCTAATGAAAAAAAAAGGTGAGTAAAAAAGAAATGGTGGAAGACAATAATGACACTAGACATCATCATTTACAAGGATTTCTCTCTCTCTCTCTCTCTCTCTCTCTCTCTCTTCTAAGACCATCCTCATTGGCGCGTTGGTTCCACCACCAAACTCAATCCAATCTTGGTACTCTTACGAACCTACCAAACGGGACCAAAAGTGCCCATATGGTTTGTCCTTTACGAACCACTCTCCTGCGTGGTACTAAACAAAAGATTAGAAACACATCTTCTTCCACTACCATTGAAACCATTACTTATAATTGCCTCACTTTTGGCTCTTCTCTCTTTTGACTCCTTTCTTTTTTTTTTCCCTTTTTTTATCTCTCTTTTTCTCTGTTTCCCCTTTTTCTTTTTTACTCTCCTCTCTCTCTCTCTGTCTCTCGTGAATTATTATTACCATCCATGTCCCCTCTGGTAAACTGTCGGTGGGTGCAAGCATCCTATGACAATCTCACACTCAATGCTTCTCTCCAGCTGTTACTTTCTTTTGACTTTAATGTCCAACCCAAACTGCTTTCAGCTTCTCTCTGGTTTTCTTTTATCAGCTATTAGACTTCTTAGTGGATAATATTTGCATGAAGTAGTACTCCTTGCATTTTTGATGATACACTTTTCCAGGTGAGGAATTGTTGTAATTTTTTTTTTTTCTATTTTTATTGTTTTTCATGTGTTCTTTTGTTGTTTTAGTCAGCATGAATTCATGGGTTTATTTTATTTTATTTTATTTATTGAGTTTTGATATTTTGACACGCATGCTCTTATTTCTTGGTTCCAACAGTTTTCCAAAAACCATCATCTAATCCCAAGACCCATTTGTTTTATTAGTTTGTTTCACTAAGAATTGCAAGCTTATTGAGGATGGTTTTGTTGAAAAACTTGGAAGGATCAATGAGGTCTAAAGTTTATTATTATTATTTTTTTAATTGTTTGGGTGTGAAATCTACCTTTACAACGTTGTTTTCAGGGCTGTAATTCAAGGGTATTTGGTAACGACAAAATATTGAGCCCCATTTTCTGATCATAGAAAGTTATGAGCCACTTCTTGGCCATCCAATCTTTCTTTTCAAGAAGCCTTTTTATTTTTGTTTTATACTTGTCCTGTTTCTATTGTACTTATTCATGGTCTACAACTGATGAGAAGTAGTAGGAAGTGTTGAACTTAGTTGAAACTCCCTTCTTTCCAAAATTCTGTGTGGATTGTTCTTTAAATTGAGTGTTGCTTCAAATATTAAAGCTGAACTTAACATGTGTTGATCAAATGTTAATAACACAACATTCTCACTTGAAGTTTTCAGTTACAAGAAATCTTTTTAGCTCGGTACTTAGTCTTATTTATGTTTCCTTTTTGTTCTTCAAATAGAATCTAAAATCATGGATCACAAAACATGGCTATGGAGGAAAAAGTCTTCTTCTGAGAAGACGATTTTAGTGACCGACAAAGTTGTTAACCCTTTGCGAAGAACTGAAGATGTAAGTCAGTCACTTTTGGCGTTCACTTTCTTCCATTTTGCCTTATTTTCTGCCTCAATATGTTAGTCACTTTCTTTTATTCTCGTGATCACCTCAGAATATGTGTTGACAATTAATTCTAGTATCAGAATCTGACTATGTATCACAACATTTTGTTATGTTATTAGCTACACCCAAATCCGACAGAGAAAGGAGTTGGATCTGAGAGATCTGCGAAAACTCTTAACGAGAAGTTAGCTTCAGTCCTCCTAGATTGTCATGTTAAAGAAGATCCCGACATGAAAGACACAAAAATGGCAGAAGAAACTGTAACAGGTGACTCCCTACTTTCCCAAATGTTTCCTTTCTTTTAAGTATTTGAAGCTCATAGTTAAGCAATATTATAAATGTTCTTTAGGCAAAGAGAAGGCAGAACAAGAGAAAGTATCCCCAAAGAAAGAACTAGGCGAAGCTTTAAACAAGGGAGTAGCTGAAAGTGAAATATTTATTCAGTCAGATGATGCACTAAAAGAATGTAAGAAGCAATTAAGCATTGTTCGAGAAGAACAGGAGCAAAAGATACGCGATGCGGTAATGATGACTTCAAGAGAATATGAGAAGGTGCAGAAGAAATTAGAAGAGAAATTCGCAGAGACAAGTAAGCAGCTTGCGAGTCTAAGCGTTGAGAATTCTAATCTGACCAAGGCACTTCTAGTGAAAGAGAAAATGATCGAAGATTTAAACAGACGCAAGACTCAATCTGAAGCGGAATTCAGTGCGTTAATGACTAGACAAGATTCGACAGAAAAGGAAAATGCTTTTCTAAAATATGAGTTCCACATGCTTGAGAAGGAGCTTCAGATCCGGAACGAGGAAATGGAGTACTATCGTCGGTCTTTTGAGGCATCACAGAAGCAACATTTAGAGAGTTTGAAGAAAATGGCAATGTTGGAACAAGAATGTCAAAGACTTAGACCTCCAATGCGGAAGCGTCTTCCTGGTCCTACTGGGAATATGAGGAGTGACGTTCAAGTAAAGAGAAGAAACCAGACAGACTTGATGAGAAGAAGAAAGCCAAATCTTACAAAAGATTTGATTGTTAGAGAGGCCGCAGTAGAAAACTCTTCTGAAATTCTTAGCAAAGATATGAATTTCATGTTTGACAGATTGTGTATCGTCGAAGAAGAAAATGAAGCCCTCAAAAAACTTTTAAACAGGAAGAGCCCCGTAGCTGCTTCCAGATTTCTGGGTTCTGACATGCAGCTCCTGGAGCTTCATAAAGGCCAGAAATCCATAGAGCTGACAAGAGGTAGTCATATGGCAAATAAACTGTCTATGTCCTCGGATTTCGACATAAGCAGTGATGATGCTATTAGTTCTTCTGGATCTTGGGCTAATGCTCTAATTTCTGAGTTGGAACATTTCAAGAATGAGAAAGTCAAGGATCCACCTTACCGCAAAGCCTTTGAAGTTTCAGACATTAGCTTAATGGATGATTTCGTCGAAATGGAGAAGTTGGCGATAGTTTCGGCTGACAAACCTTCTGGAAATGGTTATCCGAGTTTAACTTGCAAGGATCTGGTTTCAGTTGCAGAAGACAGGGCACATGAGAAACCTTTTGACTGGCTTCAGGTTGTTTTGAGAGCAATGTTGGAGCAAAAGCATGTTTCGAAAAGAAGTCTAGAAGAGCTACTTGGGGATATCAAAATTGCTCTTGGTTTTGTCAACTCTCCAACAACCCGTGAAGCTGATAAAACCACCAAGTCTTTGACTCTTGCAGAAGCTGATACTCTTCCCATAAGTGGGTACCTCCCTTGGAATTCTCCAAAATGGTCTCTGGTCCAAAACACTGCACCAGAAGTAAGTGGAAACAGACATATTCAGCATGGTCTGAGTGAATCAATCTGTAAAATCATTAAGCTGATTCAAGAATTAAACCCCGCCTCTTTAGCTGAGGATCACTCTCTGAATACTGCAACAGAAAAGGATCAGAAGTTAAAACCATCAGCAACGCCAGTGGACTACTTTATTCGTGTTTTCCAGTGGACACGCTCGGGACTAGATGCCATTCTACAAAGATTTCTTCAAACTTGTGATGATCTGCTGAATGGAAAATCCGATCTTGAAAAATTTGCGGAGGAAGTGGCATCTACTTTGGACTGGATTTTGAATAACTATGTGGCGCCTAAGGAGGCCGCAAGCACAAGGGACAAAATCAAGAAGCATTTTGGTTGGGACGAGCCCCAGAGAGAAAATGATCTGCAAGTGTGTCTTCCAACTGAGGAATTGGATGTGGTTCAATCTGAAGAGCGGTCCCTTGGTTGGCCCTTGCTCAATTCTAAAGAAGACAGAAATGCATTGATCCAAGTGGACACGGCTCAGTACACACTGCAAGAAGAAAATAGAAAATTGAAGAATGAACTCAAGAATGTCATATCTACAAAGTCAGACATGGAAGCTAGGCTAAATTCGGCAACAGAAAAAGGCAAGGATTTGACGATACAACTTCAAGAATCACAACAAAGAGTTGGGAGCTTGCAAGCAGAACTGGAGGCTTTGAAAGAAACAAAGGGGACGATCGAACACCAGATTGAAAACGAGAAGTTGATCAACGACGATCTTGATACTCAGCTAAATGTTACCAAAGCTAAACTGAATGAAGTTTTCCAGAAGGTCTCATCTTTAGAGGTTGAATTGGAGGACAAACGTAACTGTTGCGAAGAATTAGAAGCGACATGTCTTGAGCTCCAACTCCAGCTAGAAAGGTAAACTTTTGTCTCTTGGATTTTCCTTTTGTGAAACTAAACAGTAACTGCTCTTAATAAGAAATTCTGATCTGAGGGCTGTATTGTCAGTGATCCAATGAAGGAAACTCCAAAGTGCAAAATAAACCAAGAGGAAAGGCAATCTCAATCTGTAAGTCCACTCCCACCTTTTTATTTTTTCTTTGGAAAATATATTCCAAACTTGAATTTTGATGTACTGAAAGCAATTACTTTTATGTTAGAGAAATTGAATACATTGTCTGCAGCCTGGTACCTTAATCTGAGACATTACACAATAAATTAAACTGCTTAAGTACTCTAATATGGAAGGTTTACTAAATTTTTCAGGGCTGGGAGATCACAACAGCATCAGCAAAGTTAGCAGAGTGCCAAGAAACAATAGCCAACCTCGGAAAACAGCTGAAAGCGCTAGCTACCCCGAGGGAAGCTGCCCTTTTAGATAGGGTTTTCTCCGACACAGCCACCAAGGACGAGAAGTTAAACAAGCGCTCTTCCCTACGCGACCGAATGCTGGCTGAGGATGATGCTAAAGCGGAGAATCTCAACTGTCAAAAAGTCAAAGACACTGCAAGCAGTGGAGATACTCAGAAGCCATCATTTCCTCAATCTGATGGTCAGAATGCCACCGAATCTTCTAATGTTGCGGTACATACCCCGGTTGCATGTCGGACTTCAAGCTGCAAACCAGGTAACAATGCAGCTGTGACTTTGGCTATTGTGCCGAGCAAGAAAAAGGGCGGCGGGTTTGATTTGCTAAGGAGGCTACTCCTTAGAAGAAAGAAGAGAAACAGTCAGAAACCACAATTCTCAGCCAAAGTTTGACGGTCACAAAGCCAAGAAAAAGCTAAGGCGAGAAGAATGTCATGGCAAGAGACCAGTGTGCTACATATATGCCTATGACTATGAGGCAATGAGAAATGGAGTGTTAAGAGTTGTTCATTAATTGTGGTGTTTTGTTGCTTGACTTTGACGAGTGAAGGTGGCATTAAAAAGGGAAAAAATGTTTGGGCTTCTTTTCTTTTCATACAGAGAGAGAGAGAGAGAGAGAGAGAGAGAGAGAGAGAGTTCTGTAATGCTGATGCGTGTATATATATGTTTGTTTGAAGAAACTTGAGACTCGGGGATATTAAAAAAACAAAAAAAAAAAAGTATAGTGATTGGTCATGTGGAGATATTCAGTGCATGATTGGTAGGACACGGCATAAAAGAAAGTGATGGAAGGGTAAGAGGAACTTTAATTGGGGACGAGGATAGTGTGGTGATTTTATGATATATCTTACGCACTCAAAATTCTGTCCACAAAATACCAACTTTTTGAGCCTTCCACATATACACATTTCCACATTTATAATAATTAAGTAAATTATTTTTTTACCGATCGTAAAAGAAACGTATGTTATTTATTTTAAATAATTTTAAACTCTGTTATTTACTTAATTTAGAAATAAAAGTTCTTTTAAAGCAATAAATTCACCTCTATTTATCGATGTAGGTGATTATTGATTGCTTAAAAAAAATTCTTAAACTATTGATTTAAAATGTATAAAAACTTTAAAGACATCAGACTTTATTTTTAAATAATAGAATTAAATATAACGGGTGAAATGATCGACGAAAATTGTATAATATTTAAAATTATTATGTGAGTCAACAAAAGAACTATAGAAGAATTTAGAAGTGTTGAGTCCGAAAATCGTAATTTATGCATCTTACTGCAGTGACACGAATGAGAAGAAAAGGTCGTATCGAAAGAAGCAGATTTTTCTTTCGGTAAATATATGTTCTGAAGTAGATAGTTCTAGACATAGAGAATAGACTAAAATGATTAAAAATTTAGGACTGGTAGCCAAGACAAGCATGCCACTTAGAAGCAAATACTTTGTTGATGGAGAACGCAAGTATTGGTGTGGCGATAGATGACTGTTGTGGCCACTTATACAAGCCATGTTTAGGGTAGATTTGGTAGTGATTTTTAGAATCCAAAATCAATTCTTTAGTCATTTACAGTTAAAATTTATATTTGGTAAAGATCATAAAAAGTGATTCTTAGAGAATTTTTGAAGAATTTAAAGTCAAAATCAAAAGCAGCCCAAAGACAACTTTGACTTTTAAATTGTACGGCAATCACTTTAAAGTACAATTAATGAAACGTTCATTATACCCTTAAAATCAATACTTTTATAATTATAATTTACCAAATACTTCGCTATTTTTTGTAACAGCTATTTTTTTTTTAAACACAACTAACAACAATTTTTTTTTTAAAATCTACAGCACTATTAAATTGACCCTAATCTTACCATGTAGTAGGAATGGCTCCGTGCAAAGATCCTTCAAACAAAGAAGGTTGAGAATTCTATGGAAACATTATTCTTTAGGCAAATTAAGAAACATAAATTAAATTCTTTTTCATATTGGGAACACAAATAACATTTGACAAAAGAAAAGATTTAAAAGGAGAAGAAAGGGTTGCATATCTGGTGTGGACAAATGGAGAGGTCCAAGCATGATGTCATCGGAGCCGATATATCTAGAACAAAGGGAGAAAGAAGCTATTAAGGTCTGTTGTAACATGATGTGACGCTCCTGAATCAAGGAGCCATTGGGATATGTTAGAATGAGATTGAGGTGGTGTTTCGTTTGTAATGTTGGCATATGTTAGAAGAACATGTATCTCTTGGCGGAATGACCTTATTGTCCATAAAATTTACACTTGATAAGGACGCATGACTTGTTCTTTTGCAACAAAACTCAGAAAAAATTTGAACTCGAGTTACAACTTTATTTAAGTTTATGTTCTTTTGTAAAATTTGAGTTTGAACTCGAGTTTAGGGCTAAACTCGAGTTCAAGTTTTCTTTTCAACTCGAGTTCATAAACTCGAACTCAAGTTAATGAACAATATTTTTTCTATTCTTAAAAATGTCATAACTTTTTCGCTTTATTTCTGATTGAGATGATTTTTTTTCTATGCATTCACAACGAAAAGACGAATAAAACCCCACCCATATACCCTATTAAAATTTTTCATCACCATTGAGTTTTTATTAAAATACTATCTAAATAAAAATTTATGTTTTGACTCACCCAAATACAAACTCAAAGGCCTCGTTCACAAAAAGATTCTCAATTCAAATCATAACTCAAATGTACACATAAAAACACAAACTCAAGTTACAACTTCAACTCAAGTTATAACTCAAACTCAACTCAAGATACTCAAGTCACTCTAACTCAAAAATGCAAAAGAACAACCCCTAGTTTCTTGGCGTATTAAATGGAGGGACTAGGAGTGGCAATTCGTGTCACGTGTCATGTTTTGATCGTTTTTTCTAAATTTACAGTCAACCCGAACACGACCCGTGACACGAAATTTTTAAAAACCCCAACACGAACACGACACGACCCGAAAATGACCCGTGACACGAAATTGACCCGTGAACCCGAAATTGACACGAAAATTGTATACTTTTATTTAGTTTTTTACATATTAAAAATAACTTAAAATTCGTAACACACTAAATTATAATAACATCCATTGAAATTAAGCAAATAATAGTATAAGATTTTGAGTATGAAAAATATATGTATTTTTTAGTTTTTTACGAGTTTCGTGTCGTGTTCGGGTTAGGCGGGTCTAACCTGAAATTGACCTGTGTTTTTCGTGTCAATTTCAGGTCGACCCAATTCTGACCCGAACCTCTTATTTCTCAACTCTAACCTGCAAAACTCGTATCATTTTCGAGTCGTGTCATTGTGTCATGACCCATATTGCCGGCCCTAGGAGGGATCTTATTGTCCATAAAATTGACACTTGACGAGGTATATGTGATTTTAAACTTTGATTTTGGGTGGTGGGTTCATCCATTGGGTTTAGCTCGTGCCAGTTTATGAATGCTCTGATGCCATGGAGAATTTAGAGAGAACTTTTTGTGAATGACTTGGGCAAAATTTATTGATAGTAATGTGTGCAGTATTATATTGTTTCTAGCCACTAAATAAATCAGGAAACTTTTTATAAAGAAACCAAATAAAGGGGAAACTAGCTTAAAATACACAAAACATTGATATCAATTACATTTCCATGATTCATTAGTCTCATTGAGATTGATTTTCCTGCTTGTTAGGTTTCCAGAATCTCAATACTTTGCAAGAGATAAGTGCTTTCTATGGTAAAGTAAAGTTTCCTCAATGATGAGTGAGTATTTTATTCACAACTCAAGTATTTTTGAGCTTGAGTATTTGTAAAATTTTAAGCATTTTTATTAGTTTAATGTATTTTTATTTTGTTTTTGTATAGGTTAAAGTTAAAATGGAATAAAAGGAGCGAAAATTTAACTTCAAAATATACTTCAGTATTTAGGGAATACTATGTCATCCGAAGTCCAAATGAGGTGATCTTGGTGGCGTTGGAAAGATAAGAGGTAGAGCTACAACTTTTGCGAGACATCCAACACTAATTCGGTCATATAGAAGGTGAAAATCCTCCACAAAGTTAGACACCCGCTGCAGCGAGAAATTCATCTACTACAGCAGATTTCCTGCCCAAGACCAGTGCATGAATGGTGCACTGCAGCGTCCATTTGCCTTCCCACTCATCCTCTGCAGCGGAAAAATGATCCGCTACAGTGGTCGTGCCAGTTTCGCTAGGATTTTTTCAAAAACCTTAGCGGCGCCGCAGTGAGAAATTGATCCGCTGCAGCACCTCCACACGAAATGCTATCAATTTGAGCTGATTTGGAAAGATATAAAAGGGGAGAAGGCTCATTTTCCCAAGATGGTGGAGAATTGGGAAGGAAACACAAGATAGAGAGCCAAAATTCCTAGAGAGAGGAGCTTGAGTTGATGATTCTTGGAGGATTCGTGGTGGATTCTTGGAGGATTCAAGCTTGAATTTCATCTCCATAAGAGTTCCTTCTTCCTTTCTCTCACCCTAGTCTTTCTTGAGATTTATATTTGTGGATATTGTGTTGAACATATTTTCATTTATGGATTTCTTGATAAGATTAGTTATAGATTTCTCTATGTTGAGCTAGATTTCTTATGTTAGGGGGATAGATGTAATTTTACCATGGCAATGTTTTGAAAATTCTAGTGCTTGTTAATTAAATTCATTTCTAATCATTTGTGTTTCTCTATGCTTATTGTCTAATTTGATTATCCATTGAATTAGAGATTTAGTTATGTGGATTTAGTCTTAGGAAAGTCATTTGCACATATTGGGATTTGGGAAACACAACCTAAGTTTATTGAGTTCGGGAGGCCAATATAATTTGGGTAATCACTAAATGGGTTTATGCTTAATAAACGCTTAATGGATTGGTTTAATTGGGATATTACTTGATTCATTTTACGTATTATTTTGCTTGGTACTCAGGAGGAGTAAGATTACATTAGAAAACCTGTGATTAATGATTAGAGTGAAATTTCTTAACAAGCTCTTGATTTGGATAGACATTGTCTAGTGAGGTGAAATCAAAACCCCTAGCTAACTTTTATTATAGAATTCTCTTCGATCCACCTCTTTTTACTTGCTTTATTAGTTTACTTTTATCGTTTTAATTAGTTTGTTCTCTCAATTAAGTTGCCTAGATAAAGTTGAGTTATGATAATCGCGGTACTTAGCAGCAATCTGATACTCAATCCCTGTGAAGACGATACCCACTCATCCTTTACTATCAAAACTTGACATCGTATTCTTGCTGGTTTACAACCTCTCTACTTTTTCATAATAGTATAATTCTGTATATTGCGTAAAAATTAATTATTTGCGGTACATTTTGGCCTTTTGTATATTTTGATTATTTTTTCATAATGGTATGTTTAATAAATTATAAATACTTTTATTTTTTGTTTTTCATTTAGTTGATTTTATTTCCTTTTTTGGCATTGATAATGAAATTAAATAATAGCATGTTTACTTACCAGGATTAAAGAATGTGAGTGGGGAATGAGAGTCAATCCCATGTTTACTTGCTCTTTTTTATCCTGGAATAGGAGTGAGATTGGTGGACCCTACTCAAATTTGAGATTGAGAAATGGATTGGCACTCCCATGCCCCCCCTTGGGATTGAGACTCCTATTCCTAATATTAATATTAATTTACTATTATACCCTTATTTTACTTATAAATACACAATTAAAAATAAAATTCAAAAAATAATAAATGCAACATATATTTATTATTTTATTTGCCTAATATTATAATATTAGCATAATTATTGTTAACTTTAATATAATAAATATGTACTTTATTTTTAATAAATTAATAATATATTTTATTTTTTAACACTATTTTTTATTTATATTTATTTTATTTAAAATTTATTTTTATATTTTAAATAGTTGTACAATTTATATTTATTATTTTAGTACCCAATTATTACACTAAATATTTTAATTATGATTAATTTTAATATAATAAGTACACAATATATTTTTTAAATTGAAAATATCAAATTGATTTAAAGGGTATATTAGTACTTTTACACTTTTTCATTCTGATTCTGGGTGTAAGTAAACGTATGGATGAGATTTGGAATGACTCCGATTCTGAATCCTATCACTGTAAACAGCTTATTCTGACTCCGATTCCTCACTTCGAATCCTACCCACTCTGAATCCTACCCACTCCGATTCATGGTCATTCCGATTATGTGTAGGTAAACATACTTTATTAGACCCTTGAATACGAGACTCGGCCACGGCACACTGAAGACCTTGCATGGTGCCATGGGCTGAGGAAGGGGTGTGAAGATCACCCAAGCGAGTTGCAAGGCATGAGGATGTTGCAGACCAAGGCCGGGCCAGATGGGAGCAACAAAGGAGATAGGGGAGCTGGCAGGTAGCAGTGCGCCCTTGAGATTAGATGTCGCGAGAGCAGTGCACAGACGGTGCGCGTTGGCAGGACGCTGTGCGCGCTGGCAGGAGGCAGAGCGTGCGCGCGCGCAAGGCAGACTGCGCGCATAGGTAAACCTTGGTGGGTTGGTTCGGACAGAGGCCGAAATAGGCGCTAGTGGGCCGCGTGGCGTGCTGACTAGGCACCCTTGGTGCTGTTGCGAGATTCACGACTTTGTGGACGTTGTGGCGCGGTACAACGGCTAAGTGGTGCGCGAGATCCGTGGGAGTGGATCACTGGTGGCGCGAGTCGTGGGGGCGACTCAGTCAAGTGGTTGGCTAGACATGTGCGAGAGTTGGGCGCCATGTGGACCCTTATCTGTGCAGAGCAGATCATGGGGCGTGCGTGTGTGCCAGGTGGCGTGCCCAACAGAGTGACTTGCTGCCCATGACCGAGAAACATGGCAGAGTGGGTCAAACCGAGTTAGTGGCTTAGAGATAAGCCTGATGATGCTATCACGTGCAGGGGGACGTGTTAGTGGGATTTTGTATGCGCCTAAGTGTGGGGACACGTGGCGGGAGTTGGTGAGCCAACTAAACCTAAGTGGCTGGGGTTGTCAGCCACACTTGTCTATAAATAGAGTGGCCGGGCTACTGTTGAGGGAGAAGGGAGGAAGGAATTTGAGAGAGATTCTGAGTGTGTAATCCTAAGCCTTAGCCTTGTGTATTCCTTTTATATGAGATTAATAAAGGGTTGGAAAAGAGTTTCGGTAAATTGAGTATTGCTTGTGTTCTATTGTGTTCGGTTTTTGGCTAATCTCTGTAGTGTAGGAATTGGCTGGCTGAGTCTTGGTGACTTAGCGCCATTATCATAATTTCATGATCGTTATAATACTTATTGTGCACCCACAACAGTTGTACTCTTTAACTCCATTTCTAGAAGTATCAAGTATGTTATATTCTATATCATAATTTATTTATTTTCATGATAATGGAAATCTCTTTACTGTAGCCTAAAGCCATCTTCAATTAAACTTGCTGCTGTCATTATCAAAATTTGCTAATCGTCATTATAATTGTTGTGCAATCATAGTTGGTTGATTCTGTCTATTTTCAAAAGTAAGTTCATTATAATAATTTTTTTGTCCTTATGATAACAACAGGTTGAAAATGGTAATGACATAGACTTGAGGATTTTCAGTTCTTGCCTGGAAAAGGAAATCAAATAAAAATGAATAAATAGGGGGTGCGTTTGGAATTAGTTTTAAAATGATTTTGTTTTTTGTATGAAAATGAAAATGAAAACGTTTTCGTTTTCATTTTTGAATTATTTCTGAAAATGCGTTTAGTAATTTTATTCAGATATTGATTTCAGTTTTAAAAAAAACTGAACTGCATTTAATGGTTTAATTTTTGAAAACATGTAATTATATTTAAAATAATAATATATTAAATAAATAATATTATTAAATATATTAAATAATAATATATTAAATAAATAATATTATTAAATATATTAAATAAACAAAACGATAAAAACGGTAGAAGATGGTGGCGGGCAGTCGGAGAAGATGGTGGCGGGCTGTTGTCTCGTTCATAGAGAAGCTTGTTCCAGTCAAGCTCCAATGGTTGTTTGCACTCTCCCCTCTTCCGTGAGTGAGAAAAGGAAAAGAAGAAAATGAAAACGGTATTATACCGTTTTCAGTTTTTTAGAAAAAGACAAAAACGTTTTTGTTTTTGTTTTTTAAAAAGTTTTGTGCCAAACGCATTTTCAGAATGCATTTTCATTTTTTAGCTTCAAAAAACGTGAAAAATGGAAACAAAAACAAAAACAAAAAGGGCCAGAATTTTTAGAGGTTTGCCTCAATTAATTTGAGACTATTCATTATCATGTAGAAGATGTCTACAAGAGAAAATCACATACCTCACAACTATCTGTTTTTATCTAATTTCTTTAATAGTCATCTAATATAATGAAGTTACAAGGTTGATCTGTGAAATCTTTTGCATAGGAAATAATTACTTGGGTATAATTGGACTTCACAACTCAACATTGCAACATTCTAAATTACTAAATTTAGAACATATATATGATGACATAAAAAAGTTTTTGTACAGTGGTATTCGTATGTCTTTTTTTTTTTTTTTTTTTTTCCCTACTGTGATTTAGTATGCCTTATACCGTGATATTTGTTGTTAGTAATCAATTTCCTTTATTATCATCATCGTGATAAAACTAGGTGAAATTAGGATCACTATATACATGATATCTGATAGGTTTATGGTAAACTGAAATATTAAACATTTTTTGTAATGCATACTAGCTAGCAGTTTTGCTGCGTGAGAGCTTTTGAATAAAAATGATCTTTGAATTATTTCAGGGAAAAGATATAAATGCATTGCGTACAAGTACTAATATGCATCATATAATTAAGTGTATAAGTGCTCATCACATCATTTTGTGAGTGTGTGTCATGAAAACAAAAATTTAAGCTTCACTTGTTAAGTCTGTAAATGCCTGGAAAATGCACCAATCAAGTCTATATATTTCTTTACGCACAATTGCTAATTACGATGATTACGAGGCCTGCATTAACCATTTAACCTCTACTAGAGGTGTCAATTGGGCCGGGCCGTTCATGGACGGCCCGGCCCAGCCCGCTACAGTAGTAAATTCGACACGGCCCGGCCCTGTACTGTTATGGGCCGGGCCGGCACGGCACGCCAGAAGGGCCTGGGCTGGGCCTCATGTTTGACGCCCGCAGCCCAGGCACGGCTCAGGCACGGCCCAGGCACGCGAATGGCTAGGCACGGGCCCGGGACCCGGAAGGCCAGGCACCGGCTAGGCACGGCCCAGGCACGCGAAGGGCCAGGCCCGCGACATGAAATTTTAATGAGGTTTGAGGCATTTTAGGGCCAATTGGCCGACTTATGCCGTCTGGTCAACTAATCATTTTCTTATAATTATTCATATTAATTCAATAAAATCACATATTTTTGGGGCATATGATATATTACCTTTTTTGTCATCAAATTTGAAATTAAAAAAAAATCCTAAAAATATTGCTAATCATAAGTGAAACTCAAGTGCATTAAGAAAATTAGGTTAAGATTGAGTTTAGACATAACAGAATCTTCTAGAAGCACTTAGGTTTTGTAATTTACTTATCCTAGAATACTGCACTCTTTTTTCCTTCACTAAGGTTTTGTCCCAATCTCACCACGAGGTTTACATGACAAGGTTTTTAACGAGTTGATCATTTATGTGTACTTATTTGTATTATCTCAATTTAATAAAATCACATTTTTTGGGGACATATGATATATTTTCTTTTTTTTTAATTAAATATTGAAAAAAAATTAAAAGGGCCAGGGCCGGCCCGTGAAGGGCCTGGGCCCAGGCTCGGCCCTGGCCCTTATAGACTAGGGCCAGTGCTGAGCCTGAGGGTTTCTCCTCAGGCCCGGTCCTGGCACGGCCCAAGCCTGCCATGGGCCTGGGGTTAGAAGGGCCCAGCACGGCCCTTTTGACATCTCTAACTTCTACAGGCTAGCTATAAAAGAGATTGTAAAATTAAGGTTTGTCGTCAACGTAAATTTTAAACATCACCGAAATCGTGTATTAACCCCGATTAGAAATCTATATATTTCTTTACTCAACAAATCGTGTATTAACCACGAATATACGATTTGGTGTCAATTTTGTTGTGAGATTATATAGAATTGACTACTCTGGCCCAATTTCATGACTTCGTTTCAGGATGTGCTGGACATCAACTTACAATTGGTGTTAGCTTCTAGAAGCCGAAATTATGGGTTAACAAGCTACAGTGAAATATAATATGGTATAGAATGTTGTCTTTAGTGTCCTTTTCAAAATAGAATAGTCGTATAAATATAACGTCCTTTTTCTATATTTCAATTTCAGAATACAATACAACAGTTTTTATTTCTTTACTACATGGTATAGAATGTTGTCTTTAATTCGAGTTGATATGTGACTTTATGTGAGAAGTTTTTACTATAATAAGAAAGTTAGATGTGATTATTTCTGAAAATTTTTTACTATAACAAAACTCGAATTGATAAAATGAACGAGACCTTATTAAAAATTTATATATTTCTTTAGTCAACAAATACGATATTGTATTTTATTTGTTAGTATGCATTTATGCTACCAAGAGACAACAAATCTTAGCAGGGTTTGACGGTGTCTAAGGCAGCTTCTTTCATTTCATACAAGGCGTCTTCAAAGCATTGAGCAAGAAACTCTGGGTCAGGGATGATGTCTTTGGCCACCAAGACTTGCATGTCTGCCCTTCCAGCGTAGCTCAACATGTGCATTGTTAGTGCCTGCATTTTCCACCAACGGACAGTACTGATCATATTATATTCATATATATTATATATATACATTTATATAATCGATTAATTATTGTGATAAACTTGGGCTTCTATTTTCTAATCGCTTGAGATATATAAATAAATTGTACTGTGTAACAGATTTCTGTATAATATCAGAAAATCTCATTTAAAAAGGTTTAATGTACTAGCTTTTGGAGACATTTTTTAAATATTTGTATTGTTTATTAGCAAATTTTATATTTTTTTTTTCTCATTAGACTCTTTTAAAAATGTGATTTTAAACACTAACTCAAAAAGAATAGTTTTTATTCTTTTATTTTATTGTTTAAAAGTATAGTAAAAACCGGGCCATAACACAACATATATGTTCTTTTAATTCATAGATTTAAATAAAAAGACTTGAAATGAATTTTAAATTTTTGTGAATGAAAATGATGTAGTAAAAAGATTAAATTGTGTTTCGAACCTATGAAACGAATGCCTAGGTATATGCCAACCCATGTGTATATCAATCAAATTACTCATTGGAACGTGAGAATTAGTAGTGAAGTTATAAGAGGCACAAACATGAGGCAAACTGGATGAAGTTACTCTGATGCAAGTTACAGGGTTGTCTCCGATTGCAACGTCCTCTTGTGGGCCAACCATATTGGAGATGAGAAAGCTAGTGTTGCAAAAGAACCTGTAACTAAAGACACCTGCAACCTATAACAGAAAGACACACAAAAATAAATAAATAATTAATTAATTAATTAAAAGTATGGAAAATGAGTGAGAGGACGACGAGCAGTCAACTTAATTTTTTATTTTTCATAACAATGGATGGGGAACTTCCATGATCTTCTGTACAGGCTGAATCATATAAGAACAAAAATAATTATAAATTTAATGGGCGTTTGTGATTTAATGGTTTAGGGTCAGTTGGACACTACTGTGTTGTTGAGAATTCTTACTCTTGCTTGCTGTGACCAGAAGCATATGTAACATCTCGTTTTATATTTCAATAAATAAAGCACTTTTTTAATGAGGAAATTACAATAAAATACAATACAAAAACTAATCTTGATGTTCTTGTACAACTTGAAGTTTTCGTACATGTCGATTCCATGCTCTAGCATCGTAGTGACACAAAATTATAACTATAAGTAAGAAGATGATGATAGCTACCATAATAAAGTTTATAGCTATTAACAAACAATAATCATAAAAATTAAGAAGAAGGAGATTGTTGAGGAACATTTTTAGAGAGTGAAATTTGTGGGTGAACATGAAGGTTAGAAAACTCAATTATTTATAAGGTAAAAAAAAACTAGCCATTCTTGACCATTGGAATTAAGATTGGATGATTTTGTCCTTAACCGTTAAGAACAGTATTCTGACCGTTGGAATAACTATCGGAACAATATTTGGATGATTTTACCCTTGGTTAATATTTTGAGGAAAATATCATTGGAAATATCAATCGATATTTAAAATTATGGAGAAGACATTAAGGAATATTAGAGATTTAATGGTGAAGTCAGGTTTCAATTTTGATAGTTTGAGGTGTTAGTTTCAAGAAAAAAGGCCTTTTGTGAATAAATAATTAAGGGTTAAGATGACTTGATGAAATTTAGTAAAAATTTACTATCGATAAGTACAAATCAAGGAGTACGATGGAGAAATCAGAAACTTAAAAGGGCAAGTATAAGAATAGAAATTTTGAAGTTTGTTTTAACAAACGGACCAATGAATAGTAGTAAGCCAGTAGTGACAGGCCCAATAGTAATGGGCTAATGAATAGTATAACCCTTTAAAAAAAAGAGAAAAGAGAAATCAAGAAGGATGAAGAAGAACTTAGAAAGCCTTCAGAAAATATTATTTTATTAAAAACACTATGCATAAATAATATTTTATTATGCATAGTAATTACATAGTACTCCAGAATTTTTTTATAAATAGGATTTCATAATTCATTATTCATTATCTTAGAATTTCAAAAACGAAATTCTTTCTTTGTTCCTCTCTTTAAAATACTTCCTAGTGGAGGTTCTAGTTCTAGTCTTCGAGGGTCAGAGTTCTACTGATAAGGTACGAGTTCTAAACTCGTTATGCTTTATAGTTTTGATTTACTATGGTACTGCTTAAGTAAATAATCTAGGTTAATCCATTAGAAGTCGTTAAAATACTTAATTATCGTAAACATGAATAATACTCGTATGTTGAATAGTGCCGGTATACGTGAAATCGTGAATAGTTTCTGAATGCATAAGTAGTCATTATATGCATGAATAGTACTCATATGCGTAAATGTACACCTATACGTGAATAATAGCGTATATGTGAATAGTATCCATACATGTGAATAGTACCCTATGCATGAACCATACTGTATGATTGAACAATACCGTACTATACCTATGAATACTGTATATGTGAATTTTACAGACTCTGGAGAAAGGACTGAAGGACCAAATGATTGGACTTAATGGACAACATGACTGGACAAATTTATGGACTTGAAAGTGAAGTAAAAATGGGAAGTAAAAATAGAATAGTAGTACCATATGTTTAGTTATTATGTTAGTATTATTAAGTTATTTTGGTTACTGATATAGTATTGTGATTGTTATTATATTGGTTAGGAGTATATTTTCCTATGGGAAGCTGAGACAAAGTAAGTAAAGTTCTCACCTACAACACAAGTTAAAGTATTTTGAAAGTTATTTTCAGTCTGTTTATATTTGTTATGTTCTGGTTATAACTTTTCATTTACCCAAATAAATATTCAGTTTCTCCATATTTACTATGTTAAAGTGTTGCATTCACTTTATAGAAAAAAGAAAGTTTAAGGTCTATTAATAAGACCACAGGAGAAACTGCCTAAGTAATTACTCAAAGTTTGTTTTAAGGTCAGGTGCCTTCATAAGAGCGCAGAGCTCAATAGAAGTTATTAAGCTAATGATTGACAAATTAAATAAGTTAAAATTTTGCAGGCAGCATTCTCTAGGGCCCTGAGAAAAAGAAAAAGAAGTAAAGCATGAGTATATATGAGTTTAAACCTTCACGTGAGACTTTGACTTTACTTACTGAGTGTTAGCTCATCAATTTATTTATACTTGTGTTGTAGGTAAGGGAAAAACTACACTGAATTAAAGTGGAGGATGAGCAAGGTGCCAAACTGGCGTGTTAGTACATATGAAACCGACCTGTTGTAAGAAAAGTTTAAAAGGGGGCACCATTATATTTTAAATAATTACGAGTGTGTACATATTTAAGACTTTATGGTGTGAAATTTTAAATTTGTTCAAATTTTTGTGTAGTACGTGTTTTCAACTATTGTAATATATTTGGGTATTCGTATCTTTGTAATAGTTACCTTTTAAAAGAAAGATGTTACAACATATATGTTTTTGGTAAATATTTTAACAGAACTGTTGTGAATACAAAGAAGCATAAATTTAGGTGTTTGGTAAATTGTGTATAAAATTTTTGTGGAGATGTATAATGACAAAAGTAGACATACTTTATCACACATTTATAGTTAGTTTTATTTCTATTTTTATGGTCAATATTAAAATATAAAAAAATATAATTTTAATTTTATTAATTAAAATTTTGTTTAAAAATAAATTATTTTTATTGATAGGAAAAATTTATTCATCTATTAAATTTCTTATTTATTGTTGTTATTTTAAAAATTTTGATAATTACTAAAAATATTTGAATAAAATTTAGCATATTATACTTGTTAAAGATTTTTAATTTTTAATTTTTAAATAACTATTTTAAAAACATATGTTTTTTAATTTGATTTGGAAAAAGTAAAATATGTAGATTGATAATTAAGTTTTATTATTAAAGTTATCTTTGTAAATTTAGATAATGACACTAGAAGCTCCTGTGCAAAAGTATCCTTCAACCTTAGAGGTGTCAAATGGGCCGGACCGTCCATGGACGGCCCGGCCCAGCCCGTAATAGTGCATGATTCGGCACGGCCTCGTTCGTTACTGTTACGGGCCGGGCCGGCACGGCACGTGTAATGGACAAGGGCTAGGCCTCAACTTCTCAGCTCGCGGCCCAAGCACGGCCCAAGCACGTGGAGGCCCGCGGCACAACCCTTATTCGGCCCGGCCCAAGCCCGTGAAAGGCCCACGAAGAAGCCCATTTCATTTGGTCCAGTAGGCCCTTTACGGGCCCAACGTTCGGCACGTGACGGGCCTCCCGTTTGGCCCGTCACGTGCCTCCCGTTTGGCACGTGATGGGCCAAACGGGAGATCCGTCACATGCCGCACGTTGGCCCGCGAAGGGCCCAACGGGAAAAAACTGAATTTTAACCCAAAAATTCCTTATAAATACCCCTTAATTCCACCAGAAATCCCACACAACAATTCACTCTCATCTTCTCATCTCACTCTCATTCTATCTCTCAATTTCTCTCTTTGATTTTGATTCTAAGCTTTTTTCTCGTGTTCATTCATTTTCTAGCTCTTTCATTTACAAAGTTCAATCAAGTTCTATCAATTTCCAGAAAATGGCCTCACCAAATTTCTCAAATTTCACTGCTCTTCCTGAGCTTAGTGAGGAGACATTTTTTGAGGAAGAAATGATGCCTTCCAACCCCACCCCCACTGAACTAGAAAATGCTCCGGTGGATAATGCTTCAGTATACAACGAAGAAGCTGGAGAACGCAGTAGAGGAAAAAGACCGCGAACTTCTCCGGCATGGTAGCATTTCACCGAGGAGCCCCGACCAAATCCAAAAACAGGTGAGATGGAAATTCGTACGGTATGTAAATATTGTAAAAATCACTTTTCTAATAAAAAGGGTGGGGGTACTGGTCATCTGGATAGACATTGGAAAATATGTCTACCGTTGCACCAAGGTGGAAGTGTGGACTCCCACCAACAAACACTACAGCACATGGTTTACAAAATTTTACATACAATGCACAACGTGCTCGTGAGGCACTAGCTAAATTTCTAGCTAGTGCCGAATTGCCTATTTCTTTTGCAGAGGATGCCTCCTTCGAAGAATTCATCCAGACAACCTTTGCCCACAATTTAAATGGGTAAGTAGAAACACAACTCGTTCTGATTGCATGAAAGTTTTTTATGCAATGAGACAATCTCTTGTTGATAATTTTAGGACTTTTAATGCTATTGTGTCTTGCACTTCTGATGTGTGGGAGGGGTGTAATAAAACTGGATATTTATGTGTCACAGCGCACTACGTTGATGACGATTGGGTTTTACAAAAAAGAATAATTGGTTTTCGTTTATGTCCATATCCTCATAACGCAACAGCTATTTTCAGTACAATAATAGAAATTTTTGGGTTTTATGGGATAGA